CCATTGGTTTACCTGTATGTTTTTAAGTCAATATCAGTCAATCTTTGTTACAGTTGCACGGTATAATTTGAGGTTGAGTATTGTAATGCCTCCAGCAGTTTTCTTATACCTTAGAATTGATTTGGCTACACCAATTTTTGGTTTCATATGCATTCTTGTATTGCTTTTTCTTATCCTCTGAAATGAGAGAATTGAATTTTGATATATAAACCATTGAATCTCCAAATTACTTTGGTAATATATCCATTTTCACAATATTAATTCTAGCAATCCATGATTACATTATTCAATTTCTGGAAAATTTTTTGTAGGTCTTTCAGTTCTCTGGTTAGAAACAATCCTAATATGTTATTTTTGTACTGAATTTAAAAGAAATATTTTCCTAATTTCCCTCTCTCTGACAGTTCATTGTTTCTATACTTATGGCTCTTCTATTGTTTGTTTTGCTTTGTTTATTGATTTAGCCTGCTATAACTTTTGGACCTAAGTTTTAGGTTCAAGAGGTTTTGATTGTTTGTTTCTCTTTGTAATATCCCTGGCTGTCCGGAAAATCTTTCTGTAGGCCATGCTGGCAATAAAGTCATAGAGAGCTGCCTTCCTCTGCCTCCAGAATACTTTGATTAAAGGTATGAGCAACCACTGAACAGCTAGTCTAAGTGTTTTCTAGCAGACTCTATAGTGTCTTTTAAATAAGGAATCATGTCATGTGCAAATAGGTGTGGTTTTACTTGCTAGTTTTGTTGGAGTAGAATCCTTCTGAAATTAGGGCTCCAATTTCAGAGATTTGTGTTAATCTCCTTTCCATAGTAGAGTCATATTATACTCTTTAGCACAGATTATAAGAGCATGAAGAAAGGTGTAATCCAGAAAATATATGAGATTCCATAAGAACAGATTATTTCTGCTGAATAATACTCCATTGTGTAAATGTACCACATTTTCTCTATCCACTCTTCAGTTGAGGGGCATCTAGGTTGCTTCCAGGTTCTGTCGCAGGTAAATGGATAGCACTGGAAGAAACCATCCTGAGTTAGGTAACCCAGTCGCAAAAAGAAAAACAGGGTATGTACTCACTAATATATGGATTTTAGACATGGATCAAGATAGTGCCAGTCTGCACTTCCACTGATAGAGAGTCTGGGAAACAGGAAAGAACCTAAAAGATATGCATATATGCATAGTACCCAAGAGAAGAGGATTGAGACAAGATCCTCTGAATGGATGGTGAACACGGTGAGGGGTGGGGGGAGTGGGAGCTGGGAAGAAGAGAGGGGGGTGAAGAGGAAGAGAGTTGGTCATGGAGGAACAGGAAGTTGAGTGGGTGGGGGTAGAATAGGGGGAAGAGGGAATCATAGGATAGAAGACAGATCAGGCACCAGAGTGACCTCGAGTGATCTAAAGGGATAACACCAATTGGCAAGCTAAGCAATAGTGGAGAGACCACCTCGAATGCCCATTCCTGATAATGAACTTGATGTCTATAACCATCCCGGAGCCTTCATCCTGTGACTGATGGAAGCAGAGGCAAACACACAGTTAATCACTGAACTGAACCCAAGGAACCCAGTGGCAGAGAGAGAGGAGTGATGAGCAAATTGGCATAGATTGGGCTGGCAAAACCAGCAGAGACAGCTGATCTGAACAGGGGAGAGCTCTTGGACCCCAGAGCGACAGTGGGGAGGCCAGCATGGGACTGATCTGGACCCCCCCAAATATGAGTGTCAGCGAGAAGGCCTGGGCAACCTATGGGGCCCTGAGCTGTGGATCAGTGTCTATCCCTGGTATACAAACTGTCTTCGTGTGCCTATAGCACAAAGAGAGATGCTCTCTCAGCCTGGACTCTTAGGGGAATGCCTGGACCCTACCCAGAGTGAAAAGACAGACTCTAGATATCTCCTTTGTGGAAGGATTTGGCAATAGGGTGGGAGGGTGGGGTGGATGGGGAGTGTGGGAGGAGGGGAGGGAGAGGGAACTGGGATTGACATGTAAAATGAGCTATTTAAAATTAAAATAAAAAATGATAAAAAAGAACAGATTATTGATTATTTCTTTCTCAAATTAGTTGAATACTCATTATTCACTATAAAGTTGATTGTTTTATAAATCATTCTATTAGCCAGAAGAAAGTATCCATAAAAGCCAAAAAATTAATGGTAAAAGTTTCATATATATATATATGTATATATATATATTAACATATATATGAAGTTAATTTCTCCACAATGACATAATTGTTTTACTATGATCCTTGCAGTTAATATCCTCTGCTACCTTTGCTATAGCTCCTCACTGGACATTGCTTGAGGCTAAACATCTTTTGGTAATCAGACTCTTTTTCTCATTATAGGACTAGCCAATTTCTGCTTGGCAGAACCCCTGCACTCCTCACACAGGCCCCACATATAATGGTTGCCTGTACAGCTAACCCCACATGTTCATTGTGGGGTAGCTCAGAATCCTAAATATTTGCTTCCAGAAAACACTTTCTATGCTGAAATTTATTGGAAAGATATCTGATTTTCATCTTCGGTATATGAGCTCTTATTACAGCTGAAATTAAGAGAAGCATTTGATGATAAAATTTTAAAGATTTCTTTCTTGATGATACAGTGAACATAAGTAATGCAAATTTCAAGGGCACATGCACTTATGCTGGTGAGTACTGTGCAATGTCCTTACAGAGTATTCTCGATCACACACATAGTCACATAATTGACATCCATCATGAAACTTACAGTTTAGTGGGGAAGTTGATTTTCTTCTTCACAATCTTATTTCGGTAGACTCTTATAGATAAATATATGTTTATGTGTTTAGTTGACATAAGATTACAAGTGTAGATTTATTTCACTTTTGGATTAAAAAAATTGACACAGTTAACTTAACATGTCTTAAAAATTCAGGGATCAATAAATTAACATACCCTTTTTCTGAATTTGTTATATTATGTAAATTTCCATTAATATGATATGTATTCCATCTTTGTGTTTCTCTTATGTCATGTTATTTATCTATTCATCCATTTATCTATGTACCTGTGTACACCGATATCTTTCTGTGTTTCTCTTATGTATAAGTCTAATAAATGACTAAGATACTGAAATGAAAATTAATTTAATTCACTCTTTCCCTTTCATATCCAATTTCTTGAGATAAATAGTAAATAAATCATATGCATATTTCATAGAAACATGTTCATACCATTCAACAATGTAAAAGGCATGACTCCAATGCAAATCAATTGGTCAATAAACGTTTACAGCAATGTTGAATTTGGTCTCTGCTTCAGTGTTGCCCTGACAACTGCCTTTGCTGAACTCTTCTCAATCCATGAGTAGAGGATTCATGAAAATAGAAGTCTCACAGGTCTAGAGGTTCGTGTGTACACAATTGCACTCAGCGGTAGGGTTAGTGAAGAAAGATTAGAGTTCTTAAAATTATGCCAAGGATTTATAATTGGCCAGCATTCAAGGAATATGAGGCTTTCTCTGCTCACTTCTACATAAGATACCTATAGCACACACCTCCCTCAAGTACATAAGCAACAAGTCTCTGGACCATAAGTGGAAAAGATACCTAAAGAATGCACATGTATTTACAGAAATGAAATGGACCTTGAACTCATGAATTAACTGAAGTTATAATAGGACACACTAGACCTACAAAATCTCAGACCAGCCAAAATTCCAACAAGGATCAGAGGTTCATGTATTCCCACCATTGTCTAAGGAGGTATTGTCACTCAATGTAAGATGAAGAAAGGTGATTCATTATAATTTAAAGAATGAAGCCCCTGAGAGGCTAGTTACGCTCTCAAAGATGGCCATTACCTCGTGCTGATGCAGGCAGATGAGCAGACTAAGGTTGTATAAAAAAAGAGCACCTGAAGTTGGAATGAAAAAGTGATAGAGAATATAAGGGGAGAATTAGAGTGGAAGAAAATGCTGCAGAACATATTAAATTCATCCATAAAGTGATCAAAAATGGTGAAAAGGTTTGTGTGTTCATCATTGTTTTGTATTTACTTCTACATAAGGTAATTATGTAGCTTCTTCATACCTCAAATGAATAGCAGTATGGATATAAAGTTATGGTTATCTGAACAACTCTCCTGCATAGTGATAAAAATATGATAGTGATCACATGCTATTATTATTTTAAACAAAACCTTTAAAAGCAGAGAGTTTTTAAGTTACTTTCAAAAGGACAGAATTATATGTCAGTAGATTAATTTCAAGTTTGTTTTCAATATATATTTTATGTTCAAGAATATTTTGCTTGCCATGAGTGTTCAATGTTGTACTTCTGAAATAAATTCATGTTTAACTAAGAGTGAATATTTGCTGAAGAATTATACAACTCATCTGTAATCCTTACTTTGGCTTTTTAAACATTAGCACTTATTGGTGATTCCTAGATTGTGTTTCAGGGAACATCAATGTGCTTTGTGATATTCATTGCTGTTAGTCCAGCATGAAAATGTTTTACCCCTGAAATTATTTACATATTGCGACTTAATACATTGCTGATACATATTTAATTGACAAGATTTTCAAAAGCACAATGAATAATATGAATATTCCAGATAGTTTATTCAATGTCTGTTCTTTCTCTTTGCTGATATTACTATGATTTTTCTCTCACAATTAATTACAGGAGCAGCTTAATCTATCATCATAGTGCAATTATGCACATCCTCTTCCCAACATGTGTCAATCACATGAAATCAAATTCTGGAATTAATTGATAGGGAAAAACTCATTCTTTGCAAACAGGCAAAATTATGGACTTCTCTTGCCTTTGAACTTACACACACACAGAGAGAGAGGGGGAGCATTGCTTTTACAGTTGTAACTCTTTTTCTCCAAAAAGTTAGAGATTTGAAATATAAATATAGGTTACTTTTGAAATGAGAAAGAAGTATCATGTAAGTTTTCAAGTAAAAAAATAAAAGAGAAAATTGTGATTGTTAATGAGAATAATTTGGGAGAAACGAAAAATTATCTGTACAAATAACAATTTAAAAAATAATAATTACTGGAGTGACAGTCCTGAGGATTGAACAATGTCTGAGAGCTAGAGAAAGAGTGGAGGGGGGGTTATACAGGAAAGCAGGTATCCCCCAGAAAGTATTAGGAAGGAGGGATTTGTGGGTGCAGATGAACGCAGGTGGAAACACACAGTGGTAAGGACACCACAAATGTTGTTTTCCTGATTCCTTAAATACATTCTTGTCCAAGGTTGTACCACTGGTAAAATGAAGAAAGTGATGGAATCTGAATTGGACTCATGAATCTTTCCTACAAGTATAAGATAATCAGAATTAGAATGCATTACAGACTGTGTTGCTGCAGCCAAATATAAACTCTCTTTTTTTTCCTCATACCGATTTATATATTCACTGGATATAACAATGAATTATATAAGGACATTTTATGCAAGTATTTAATGTGCATTTAACAGATTCCCCCACCAACACCATCTCATTTTTCACCCATCTGCCGTCTAGTTTTACTTGTGCCCCATCATATAATATATATAGACATAGGAAAATTACTCCTTTCTTCTCATAATCTCATTCATTTTGTGGTTTAAGTGTCAAGAATAGATGATATTATATCAAAATTATTTTAAGACAATTATAACAATTCTGCTCTTCATTTTTCTCACCATTTAAAGATATGAATGATCCAGTTATGCACAATTAAGCATATATTTGCAACGTGTTTCTAAAGAAAAAGTATTTCCTTTTATAATGACAAAAAGAATCTGCCTAATTAATACTGTGCCATCTCAAACCCTATTGTGTTTTCTTCCTTCTACAGACATGGTTGCTGAGGATACTAGCAATTACCTTTTCATTATTATTCTTAAGAACGCAGTGTCAGAGATCTTGGAAATGTAGTGCCTGGATGATACCATAGAACTGCTGAATCTTCTATGAGTAAAGCAATAGTATTGTGATTATTACTGTTTTTGACATAAATACTGCCCAGTGCAATTTTAAGTGATGTGGTAGAAATCTCATTGTACTTTTTGTTTCAACTTTGCCAGAAGTCCTTATGTTAAAGATTTGGACAGAGTAGACACATGGAAAATGGTAAAACCTATAGAAGATGTGTTTTTAGGGTACAGAGACTGTTTACAAAGTAGATTGTGGAAGCTAGGGTATGCCATTTTTCTTGCCTTTGCTTCTTGACTATGAGTAGTTTTGTTTTTCCTGGACACTCCCACAAGGTCTGAGCCACCATTGCCCCAGCACATCATCCAGAGTTGAAGGTTTTACAGCTCTAATCATGTCCCAGTCCCACCACAATATTTTCTATATACTAATTTATTTTTACTATGATGTTTAAGTAAGAATTTACAATTCAAAATGATGATCTCAGTCAACTTAATCGATATACTAATCACTTGCCTTTGAGGTATAGTGGGAATATGGATCATCTTCTCAGATTTCTAGACTATAAGCAGGCATTAGCAAACAATGTCACCATTCTATAATTAGTTCTATAGAACTTGCATGTCATAAATAAGTACAACATATATCCTTCAACTGAAACCTCCATTGTTTATCCTCTATTCAGTAATTTGTTATTTGGGTTTTATAATAAGCTAGATCATATGATATTTGTTTTTGCTTGCAATATGAAACACAATATTTTCTATATTCAATGATTTTATCATATATAACAGGACTAAATCATATTTCTATATATGACTGCTATCTACTCATCTATTTGTAGATACTTAGATTGATACTAAATATTTTATATTGTTAATAATATTGTAATGGACAGAGTAGTGAGGGTCTCCTTCCTTGAAAATAAATTCATTCTTTCTAGCTACATCCAAATATTATTTGTGCCACCAGCTTGACATTGGGCTTGTAGGAACTATTAAGATGTTAAGTTATTTGATGACTTCCAGCACTGCCATTTTTTTCCACCATCAGGTTTAACTTTATGCTATGAAACATGTTTTGATAAATTTTATGGTATTGAACTGAAACTGTAACCACAAGTTGGAAATGGAAATACATAGTTATATATTATAAAGAAGAAATATTCTTATACACTTCTTAATTTGGAAGCTACTTTAACTATATTTACTTGATATGAGTGATAAAAATCACCAGATTGTTTGATACTTTGAGTTTAGTCTCATTATTTCTAGCCACGAAGGTCTTGACCATTTCAACAATCAATCTTAGAAAACACTAGGCTTAACAATATTGAAGAATCTTGATTGCATGGAATATTAATTTTGGTTTGTTTACCACAGAAATATCTAAGTCTTTAATATGCTAATGTACATGCTCAATTACTAATTCAAAGAATACAAAAAGCACCATATTCACGGACCACTTGATTATGGAAGTTAATGTCTTAGAAGCTGTATTATGAACATATATGCTCTTTGAAATATATCCCATCCCTAAGTGTAAGGATGGTAAAAATAAAATATGAGAATTAAAGTGCAATTTTGAAACTATTGTTTTAATTGGTATTCACTTCGTTTCTCCAAGGTAACCTTGCTTCTTTGGGGCTATTTCTGTGTTCACAACTAAAAATTGGAAGAAATAGAAATATTCATTATAATATAATTCTAGAAGTACTCAAAGTTTGAATTTATTGAGTGCCAAGTACTCAACCTGTGTAGATATTCATACTGACTTAATTATTGTACCAGAAATTTTAATTATTATATCTGCTACACATTTTTATCTTACATACACCATGTTTGCAAATCTAGCATGCTTTAATCCTCTAGGGCTACTGTAACATATATAACAAAATGAGGACCTTAAAAACAGAGGTTTCATAGTTTTAGAAGCCAAATGACCTCAAAGACAGCTAGCAGGATTAGTTCATCAGGACACTGAGGGAATGATTACCTTCAGGTTTCTCTCCTGATAATCTTCTCCCTGTATTTTATACATTCAAGTCCATGTCTCTCTTCCAATTTCTCCTTTCAGTAAGAATTCTCATCACATAATTAAAGAAGGAAGTAGAATACACCAATTATTTGATACTGAGGTATTGGCTCATTTAGTGATTTATTTAAAATGCTGTGTGTGGTGACTCTTTGCCAGCATGACTTCATTTGTTATCTGGAATAGAATGACCTAGAGAAATATCAGAATCAATGGGTATTGTCCTTAAAAACCCCCTGACTAACCTTTATTCTGTTGTAAAATGGCATTTGAGTTTTCACCCCACCTTGTGAGTTTAGAGTAAAAATAACAGGAATAAACTAGATCAGATAGTCTTCAAGAATTATCCTGGTCTACTGGAGGTATCTCTCCTCTTCCATTCTAATTGGTTTCAGAGTGCTTATTCCAGAATAATATTTGACTACACTTTATACTTAAGGCTCTGTCTTTACATAATTACTTCCTAAGACTGTATTTAAAATTGAGATATTATTCTGAAGTATTAGGGACTTGGATTCTAGCTTTTCATTTTGGGGTTGGATAGAATACAACTTCAGCACATGCTCATTTGCCTATTCTAGAATATTTTCTCTTCTTTGGCTGCAGTTGCCTCTATCTTTTCCAAACAGAAATGAATAGAATCATATTTGGATGTGAAGAAATTTAAACTCTAAACAGTAGCATGTGTTTTTGTCAGAAAAAGATAAAACAAACACATAAAATAGTTGGTAAAGTTCAGGCCAATAAGTAAAAAAGTAATTGCTTTAGCATTGCAGTAATACCTATTTATTTTTCAATGTTATCTCACTCTGAAGGAGAGATATGATTCTCCATGCATTTGATAATGACACTGTTTTGTAATTTATTCTAAATCTGAACTTGATGGAATCTAAATCAAGATAAGATTGAACGATGACAAAGTTGAAATAATTAAGTTTTGCTGAGTTATTACTATATGACAGATCCTTGGATTTATAGAGGCCGCTGCCATTATGGAAATATTGCTATTTTTCTAATATTGCTAAAAGAACTTTTTTCACAAAAGGAAATAAATTCTTCAATTTCAATGCTTTATCTATAAAGAGTAGTAGAATTTAACAGGAGAGACTTGATATATCCCCAATATATTAACTGAAATCACAAGAAAATAAGCCAGTTTGGATCACACTCAAGCATGTCCATACTCCAGAATAGAGGACTGATCATTAAAATAGTCTGATCACCTCACAGAAGTACTGTAAGCTGCCCTTCCTCCAAAATTCTTATAGCACTTGTTCTGTAGATTTACTCCTTTGTGTTTGTTGTCCCCAAATGCCTCCAACTAACACTGTTGTGCTTTTATGATATTTCAGAGCTTTAACAGTGAATATCTACTCAGTGTTTTCCTTAGTATTTGCTAGAATGACAGAATACACTGATGTCCTTAACATATAGTTAACTGAGTATTCACAAATACTTCTTCAGAAGGACAAGAGTACTCTCTAAAACAGACTTGACAAACACCACTTTCTTTCCCATTGCTACATGTCTACATGAGGTTTCTATTAGAATTGTTTAAGTAATGGTAATCTCTCTTATATTTTAACTCAACTTCATGCATTTCCATTCTTGATTCTATGGTTTAGGTAAAATTGCTCTGCATCTGCCAGGGAGTCCCATCCTGGAAAACACTCAGTTTGCTGATTTTGTGATGTGGTGAAAACTTTAGGCAACATCAATGTTCATATAAGATTAAGAAAGTTTCATTAGGACCATGGTTACTCCTTACCATAGCATGTTATTATAAAAAAATAGCAAACCTCGCCTTTTTCTTCCTGTCTGAATATATGGTCACTTCTGCTGTGTTTCTGCCTTTAGATTCCCTTGACCTTGAGACCTTAATTAGAGGACCATCAGATGGAACCATTTTATATTTAACTTTTAGATTCTAAAGCTATGAACCAAATGCACTTTTATTTACAAAGGCTTTATCCTATACACGTGTTATAGTAAAAATAAATGAACTAATTGACTAATAGACGTTGCATGTATTGTGTATATTGAGGCATGCTCATAGATTTACCATATATGTATCCCTTACCGTGACTATGTGCATGACTCCATGATTGCTAATATCTTTGGAAGCTTTTAATCTTCGTATGTTTTTTTTTTGGTTTTCCTTTTTTATTTATATTAGAAGCAAGCTTGCTTCACAAGTCAATCCCAGCTCCCTCTCACTCCCCTCCTCCCCTGCCGCCCAACATGCCCCCCAATCTCCCACCCAATCCCAACTCCAATCCCCAGGGAGGGTGAGGCCCTCCATGGAGGATCTCTAGAGTCTTTCATTTCATTCAGGGCAGGCCCTAGGCCCTCCCCTATGTGCCTAACCCTGAGAAAGCATCCCTCATTGTGGGATGGGCACCCAAAGTCCATTTGTATGCCAGGTTGAATACTGATCTACTGACCAAGGCCCCATTTATTGCCTAGGCCTCCTCACTGACACCCACATTCAGTGGGTGAGATGGATGAGTCCCATGCTTCTATGTTCTTGTTCTCTGTTACTTTAGACTCCCATTATCCAACCATACATCTAGATCAGCACTGTGCTGCATCAAGAGGTTTTTTATTTCAGTAACACAGTCAAAACAAATAATGTGTCCTCAAACTATCACACTTGTCTTCTGGTTTCCCTATACCATTCCTACAATAATCAAGGAAAAAGGAGAGTATTTCTGTTTGGCAAGTAGAAATAATTTTCAATGCAGGATTCTAGGTCACTTTAGCATAGTTTTGTTCTGTCTGCTCTTTTATAAGTCAGATCTTATATAATGTGTCTTCACACAGTATACCAAATCAGTTAAATTTTAAATATTCCCTTATATATATATTTTATTCTCTTCATTAAAATTACACAAATTTGCCCATCAATCCTATTATGCTGTCAAGTTTTACTGTATCATTTTGTATCTTCAATATGAAATTTTATTTCTGCCTCCTAAGATACAACATTCCCCAAGCTGTTCAA